GCCCGGGCCCCCGCGCGCCGGTCGGCAGGTGCCACTCGGCCGCCCGGGCCCCGCGCGCACTCGGCTGCCTCCGGCCTGCTCCGCGCGGTCCTATACGCGCTCGGGTTCGGCGGCTCGCCCCCGCCCCGCGCGCCCTGGGCTGCAGGGACCGCCGAGTCCTGGTCGCCGGCCCCGGGCGCGCTTCGGCCGCGTGTAGGGATCGGGCTCCTTGAGCCCGGGGCCGAGTCCCTTCGCGCTCGCGGCGTGAGAACTCAGGTCCAGAGGATCGGGCCGCCGCCGGGAGCAGCGTGATCTCGCGTGGGGCGGGAGCCGCCGGAGGCGTGCGCGGCGGGGCCGAGGCCCCGGAGCCCCGTCCTGTCTCGGACCCCTCTCGGTCCTTCGGAGCGCACAGCTGGGCCCCGGAGCGGTGGGCTCGCGGCGCCGGAGGTGGGTCGAGCCGGCCGGCAGGGCCGGAGAGAGGGGGAAGAGAGGGGGGACAAAGGGCGGCGTAGGCAGGGGGCCGCGGGCCATTGTTGCGGACCCGCCGCCCCTCTCCGCCTGGGGAACCCGCGATGGGCGCCCGCGTGCGGCCGGGGACCTCCGGTGCGGAGCAGCCGAGCCCGGCCCAGGAGACCGGGAGGCTCCGCTTGGGGCTTCTCCTTCACTCCGTGCGCTTTTTATTTTTCTGTTTTTTAAACGCAGTCGCCTTTCGGGTAGGACGTTCGCTACACGCAACCCGGTCATTAGGAATCCGGTGCCTCTGCCTCGGGGACAGCGAGGGACCGGGGTGGACGGAAGAGGCCGGGGACCGGAGCGGGGGGCGGCCGAGAGGCGCTCTCTGGGGTCAGCCGACAAGGACGTGGGCCCGGCGGCTGCATGGAGACCGTAAAACAAAACGCGGCCTCGGCACCCCCGCCCCCAATCCCGGAGGTGACGCGTCCTCTCGCCGTCCGCCCGCGCGGCCGGCGGGCAGCTGGGGGCGGCGCTGGCTGGGGGGCCGTCGGATGCTGCGGAGCGGGTGGCGCGCGCTGTGGGGGCGGGGAGGCAGGGCGCGGCGGCCGGCTTCTTGCGGCTTCCATCCTGGGGCGGCGCGGAGAAGCTCCCACGGGAGCCGTCAGCGGCAGGTCCGGGTGTCAGCAACGTCCGCGGCGCGGCGCCGGCCGCCCACCCTGGCTCCGGGCCCCGTCCGGGGGCGCGCGCGGGCGAGTGTGGGCGCTAGGACCCTGCGCGGGGCGGGGGGTGGGTGCGGCCAGCACACCTGGCGCCCACCTCGCCCTGCCCGCAGCACCTAGTACGCCCCCCATCTCCCCCCCGCGCGCCCCCCGCCCCGCGCCGTGCCCTGCGGACCTCGAGTGCACCCCTAGTTTCTCTTCCGAGCCTCTAGAGGAGAGGAGCTGTGGGTAGGGGGCCAAGGGGGCTTGCACCTCGGTTAAAACAGAAGGTGCGTTTTCCACCTGACACGGGAAATGGCAGAGGAAGCGGGAGAGACGCCCCCCCCCCCCCCCCACGCAGGTGACTGCGGCTGCGGCGGTGACACAGCAGCGGCAGTGCGGGAGGGGGGCGGGGAGCCTCGCGGCGGTGCCTGTGGGAGCTGTGCGGCCGTGATGCGGGCACGGGGGGCGCGGGGGGCCCTTTGTTTTCCTCGGGTGGGGGGCGCTGGCTTGGCGCGGAGGCCAGGCCCGGAGAAGGGGACCCGGGATCCCATCTGGGTTGATAGGCCCAGGGGAACCAGACGGTTCGTTCCCTAATACTGCTGGACGGAAAAAGTGAGCAGAAAAATCAATGGAGGAAATGGTAATGTGGATAATAAAAACAAGGAGCCTGGGGCCTGATCCGCTATTTGACTTGGCACGAGGAACCGGAGCCGGGTGACCCAGCCTGGTGTGGAGCTGGCTGGTCCTCGCCGGGGCCTTGGGGCGGCCGGTCCCGGGGTCAGGTGTAGTAGTAGTGCCAGAGGGGAGAAATATGATCAATAGCCATGCTTTAAAAAGAGAGGTTAAACAACCCTATTTCCAGGGGTCTCACTTGAAACAACTTAGTTATGTGTATCTGTTCTTAAGTATCTCAGTCAGGGAAAGGATGTTGTTCTCAGGATAGGCCCAGATTCTGGAAAAATCGGTGAGGTGATGGCTCCCGTTCAGCTAGTCATTTCCCAAATGAACCCTGGGCTTTGCTCAAGGCCTCAGGCTCTGAGATGACTGATCTGGCAGCTCTGGTGTGTGGTTCTCCCCCGAGCAGGGGGCTGGAGGGGGGAGGTTAATCTATTTTAGAAAGCCTGCCCTGGTGCCTCTCTGCACAGCCTGCACACATTCTTGTCCTCTAAAGAATGCAGGTCTGTTAAGTGTTGGGGGCTTTTAGGTTGGAGGGTTGTTTCACACGGCCCACCCACTTCCACGGCCAGCGGAGGTGCAGCCCAGGGCTGAGGGGCTACCGGGAGCAGGGCCAGCTCTGGGGTAATGGTTCCTGTGAACAGAGCCTGGGGCCAAACATTACTCACCTGGTGAGTCGGGTCAGGGGGATGCTCTGCCAAGGTCATTTTCCTGAAGGGGTTCAGGAACTGACCTGGCCTTTTGGGGACCACAGATGACTGTGGGCTCCGTCAGACCCCACCAGGCCTCCTGGGCCCGGGGACTGCTCCTCATGGGGGTGCTTACCTGCTGTGGAAGGGCACAGCTAGATGCCAGCATCATGGAGCGTGGCTGCCCAGGTCACTCCATCAGTGCCTATGGCTGTGGCCCTTCTGCACTGCCTAAGAGAGACGGCCACTCCCTCCTTCCCTCCCTCCCTTCTCTTCCTAGTTCTTTGCTCTTCTGTATCTACACAGAAGCCTTCTCCCCAGGTTCTTCCTGAGCCAACAGCCACCCCCCACCCCGTGTCTTATGCTGGTGGAAACAGCCGTGGAGGAGGGCAACCCTGCTCAGATTTGTGCAGTCCAAAGCAGATGCTTGGCACTGGCTCGGGCCCAGAGAGAAGGTAACCTACCTGCTGGAGGTTCTGGAGTTCCTGGTGGACAGGATGGTTCCAGGAATGTCAAGGATTCCAGTCTGGGTAGGGCGGGGGCTTGTTGCCATGTTGCCAGGTCTTTCTGGCCTTGCAGCTCTGATGCGCTCTGCATGTGGGGGAGCAGCTGTGACTCAGATGTTCTAGATTCTGTTTGCCCTCAGATCACAAGGTGACCTCATGAAAAGCTTGGCTGTTCTTTTGAGGTCTCTGTGTCTCAAGGGGCTGCAGAGCTAAGGATGCAAGTTTGAGGTGATGACATCCTTTCCATCTGGGGTCCCTAGGTGTAGCTCCTTCTCATCTGGAGTCTCCCTCCTTGGAGACTTGTCTCTGGTCTTAACCCTTGGAAGCACCCCAGACTCCCCTTCCCTAGCTTGAGTGAGCTGCCTGTCTACCCTGAATACCCAACTCTCATTGCATTCCCCCCCCTGCCCATTGTTATTACACTTACCTGGTTGTCTGTCCTTCTGCCCACTAGATGGGAAGCTCTTTGAGGTCATAGTCTAGTCCTTGCTCATGGTCATATTCTCAACAAAGGGTGTGGCTTACAATTTGTTGTTGTTCAGGTGCTCACTGGTGTCTTGACTTCTTTGTGACCCCATGGACTGTAGCCCTCCAGGCTCCTCTGTCCATGGAGTTTCCCAGACAAGAATACTGGAGTGGGTTGCCATTTCCTTCTCCAGGGGATCTTCCTGACCCGGGGTTCGAACCCATGTCTCTTGCCTTGACAGGCAGATTCTTTACTGCTGAACCACCGGGGATGCCCATTGGCTTACTCCTTAGTTTGTTGATTTAATGAATGAGTGCATGTCTTACTGATGCCAGGAGATAACAAGATTGATCTCTTAGCACTTTCATTTCTAAAATATGTAATAATCATTTCAGAACTTATGCTGTGTGTGCACAAAAACCAGTATGTTAACATGCGTAGCTGCCCACCTTCCCACGTCCTGTGTGAGGAGAGTGCAGATACAGGAGCCTGCCTGCTCTTCATTTCCTCTGCTGCTACTTGTCCTGAGCACTGGCTCGGCCAAGTCTCATCTCCATTTCACATCTTCCATTTCACTGGTAAGGGAATGACAATATATATAAGCAGACGAATGGATAAGAAAGCTGTGGCACATATACACAGTGGAATATTACTCAGCTATTAAAAGGGATGCATTTCAATCAGTTCTAATGAAGTGGATGAAACTGGAGCCTATTATACAGAGTGAAGGAAGTCAGAAAGAAAAACACCAATACATTATATTAACGCATATACATGGAATTTAGAAAGATGGTAACGATGACCCTATATGTGAGACAGCAAAAGAGACACAGATGTAAAGAACGACTTTTGGACTCTGTGGGAGAAGGTGAGGGTGGGGTGATTTGAGAGAACAGCATTGAAACATGTATATTATCATATGGGAAATAGATCACCAGTCCAAGTTCAATGAATGAGACAGGGTGCTCAGGGCTGGTGTACTTAGATGACTCTGAGGGGTGGGATGGGGAGGGAGGTGGGAGGGGGTTCAGGATGGGGAACACATGTATACCCATGGCTGATTCATGTCAATGTATGGCAAAAACCACTACAATATTGTAATTAGCCTCCAATTAAAAAAAAAAAAGTGGTACAGAAATCCCAGACTCTTGAGGAAAGGTAAAGCTGATGGGAAGACCTAGGCATTGGAGTCTGATTGCTCCTGGGAGGTTGTCCTTAAGCCTAGCATCCCCGTGTGTCATCTGAGGGCTTGCATGTGATGACACCTTGGGCTTTTATGTGGCAGGCCTCTCACTGGGCACATACTAGATGCTGGAGACCCCAGCTGTTGGGGTTGTCACTGACAAGACTGGTGCTCCTGATGTCCTGTAGACCAGCCTGGCACATGGCTTTGTGAGAGCTCATGTACTTAGGTTTTGTTTGGGCCGATGGGCAACATTGGTTGATAACTGTTATTAGTTCTCTCAGAGCTGCCTCATGTTAGGGAAAGCAAAGATCATCAAATACCCTCTTAGAAGGTACAAGTATCTTTTAGTTTTATGACTTTCAGTTGACATAGTGTATTAAATTGTTCAGCTGCAATGGGGCAAAATGTTTCCATTTTACAGTGAAAATTGGATGTTAATGAATTCCTTATCCTATTTCAGGATTACTATGATTTACAGTGTGTGTTTTCAGGTAGCTAAGAAGAGACTCACACTGTAGTATGTGACTCCTTTAGTAATAAAATGCCACAATGTAAGTTATTTTTAACCCTAAGAGTTGGATGTGGCATAATGAAATAAAATGATTCATCAATAAGGGCGTGCATCTCACATGAACTTACTCTCATGGAAATATTGCCTTATTTGTCTTTCCATTTGCTTTGTGAGGTAGGGAATGGCTGATTAATGAACTTATTTCAGATGTGTTTTTCATTCGAGACTCACCGGTTATCAGATTCAGAAGGCAATTTCTCATCATATTTTCCCACACACTATTTCACATTCTGTTAAAATACATAGTTTTTTTTTTCTTGCAGGTTCAGATGGACAGTCTTGTCAACTAAGCTCAAAGAATTTGTTACATTTTGTGCTTATAACAGGAATACCCTTTTATAAGCAGTCTCTCTCTTTGTCCATCACCTTGGAACCTTTGCTTTATTAGATTTATGAAGTCCATGTCTTACTATGATTGCTGCACAGTCTGTTTCGTGAGAGTTGCAAAATTAATTGTTTAAAAATCCACGTAAGTGCTTTTTTACAAGTCACAGGAGACTGACCGTAGCACAATGTTATCCCTGTTTTTTTCTAAACTTTTTAAATGTAAGTAAATTATTTTAATATTTGCAGATATTTCTAAAACAGCCCAGTATTTTTTATGTGTAATGCAAGGTTTACACAGAGTGTAGCACTTTAATACAAAATGTGGAGAAAATGGCTGAGCATGAGTGTCTTACTATTGTCCCCAAAATGCCGTTGGGGTATTCATGTTGAAACAACACTATTGTTATGGAACCTAGAGCTGCTGTTATGTGACTATAAAATTCTGGATTTATGCCCAGCTTAGGCAATGTTATTCTTAGTGAGGTAAGCAAGAGGAAAGAAGGAAATAAGATTGTTATGTTGATTTGATTTTGGGTTATAGTAATCCATGCCTATTTTAAATCAAGAGCATTTTTTTGGAATGAGCATTTTTTTTCCCTCCAAATATTGTGTTATCTTAATTGCTTAACTATCTCTTTGCGGTTTAGATAAGCACAGAGAAAAATCAATACTTTAAGCAGAAATATTTGGGATGTAGGCCTTTTAGTTTTCCAGATGGAGCATAATACTATTATATTGGATAGAGAGAGCCGGATAATTTTTGATGTAAACCAGACAAGTCTTTGGTTGGCATCTCCATTCTTACTTGAAGAGATGTAGACTTTTCTCTGAATAGAACTTTTTTCCAATCCATGCCCATACACGGACACTTCATTTCACAGTTTTAAAGTAGAAGTAAGTTTTCTCATACATTATACTCGTATAAGTTAGTTAGGACTTGTACACTGGCTTATCTGACCTGTCATTTCTTACCATATCTATGTAAATACCAAGTTTTTTCTTAGAGAATGAACTTATGGTTATGGGGGTGGGGGAAGGTTGGGGGGAAGATTAGGGGGAAGGGGTACTTGGGGGGAGTTGGGGATGGACATGTCCACACAGCTACAGTTAAAATGGGTAACCAGCAGAGACCTCCTGTATAGCACAGGGAACCCTGCTCAGTGTTACGTGGTAACCTGGATGGGAGGGGAGTTTAGGGGAGAATGGATACATGGATATGTATGGCTGAGTCCCTTTGCTGTCCACCTGAAACTATCACAACATTGCTAATCAGCTATACTCCAATATAAGATTATAAGAAGTTTAAAAGAAAAATGCTGGCTTTTTATTTAAAAACATTTCTTTTTTTGTTATATGTCATGTTGATAAGTGTTTTTGTCTCATAACTAGAAGCTGAGATCTAGTGGAAAAATCATTTCTTTGGGGCACTGGTTTTAAGAGAAGACGGTTCCCGAGTAAGAGCTCCTCCTCGCTGCTCCCGGGCTTGTGGACGTGTGGAGGGCAGTGCTCCAGGCCCTGACCTGTGTCCCTCTGTCTCGGTCTTGCAGGGATCCTGGAGTTCATCAGTATAGCCGTGGGTCTGGTCAGCATCCGTGGCGTGGACAGTGGACTCTACCTCGGCATGAATGAGAAGGGGGAGCTGTATGGATCGGTAAGTGCAGTGGGCCACCTTGCCAGCCTCCCTGACTCACGTTTGCTGGGAACCACTCTTTCTCTAGGTTATAAATAGAAATGAAACTGGTGGTGGTGGGAAGGGGAGTGTAGGCTTTCACTTTTTGAAGAAAACCACTTCATTGTTATGAATAGATGTCAGCCCTGGATCTTCACTAGACCAAAGTTTCTAAAGCAAATGCTTTATTTATATGCTGAGCCATTTTCATTTCCCAGTAAATAAAAAATTCACAACTGTGAAAAATCCCATCTTCTGGTATTGAATGGGAGTTATTTTTGAAATGAATTGAAATGATCTCTCCCCAGCTTTGGCAAGCATTGTAATTAAAACTAGAAATAGACCTTGCAGTGAGTATCAGCCCTTTTTCTGAGCTACATAAGATTTTCATTATGTAGAGACAAGGGAGATGGAAATTACTGTCAGATATTCTTGTAGGCGAAAAGGAATAGAAAAATATAATAATTATTTGTAAGTATTATGAGTTTCTTTTTTCTTGTGTCTTCTCTCCTTTCTCCAGTGGGTTGGAAGCTCCCTGTGGAGGCAGAGAGCACTTATTGCAGCTGGCTGGGCACCTGGAATGGTGGTCTCCAGAGTTTTCTGAGCGTAGATGTCAGTGCCTCATGTCAAATTGTTTAAAAGTTGTGTACATAAAGTGTAGCCAATATATGTTATGTTGTTTTATGCAGCACGCATTAAGGTGAAGTGCTCTGAAGGCAGGGATGGACGAGTGGGCAGTCAGACGCCACGTTCTGTCCACAGCAGATGGACCTGTGTCCTCGAGGCCGTGGCCTGTTGTGGAGGGTTCTCCAGGGGCCGTCCTTTCCCTTTCTTGCCCCTACCCTTTCTGCATGTCCCCGGTTGAGCCCCGCTGGGGCAGAGACCTGGTGACCATGAGGAGGCGGGGAGGCCTGACTGTGGGCTTGTGAGGCCCGCTGCCTGGTTCAGAGCCTGAGGTGCCCAGTAGAGGTGGGATGGCCCCCTCTGTGTCCTTGCTCGCCGGGAGGTGTCCTCAGGCTGGGGCCCTGCTGGGTGGGCAGGTGACCAGGGCTGCATTTTCCCACCACCTCATTTCCTTCCTCAGCCTCCAGCCTCCCCCGTGCCCACCCTGGTCCCGCTGACAGAGGGTCCCTCAGCCCCCAACACTGCCACTTCACGCTCAGACCTCTTGAGCTCCTGCCCTGAAAGCGGTGGCCACCTGCTTGCATCCACTCGCCCCGCCGAGCCTTGCTGCCCGGGTCTGCTCCACTGGGCCATCTCCTGTCCCTGTCCCATGTGCCCCGAGTCTGCCTCCCTGCTCTTCTCTGGTCACTTGTCGTCCAATGGGCTGTGGGGTCGGGCCCCCCACCCCGCCCTGCCGTCCCCTCCTCCCTGTGTCTCAGGAGGCAGCTTTTCTTCTTTAGGATTCGGTGACAATACTGCCTCTTCTGCAAAACCGTCCCCACCCAGCTGGAGCCCAAGTTCCTGGTCAGCATCTCGTGTGTGTGTGTGTGTGTGTGTGTCCTCGGGGCTCCGGTGGTGCCTTCTTTATGTTTCCATCCTCACCTGAGGAATGTGGACTTCTGGTGTGATTGTGTGTCTGTGTTGGTTGTGTGTCTGTGTTGGTTGTGTGTCCAGGTCGGTTGTGTGTCCATGTTGGTCGTGTCCGTGTTCGTTATGTGTCCCCTCCAGGAATGTAGACTTCTGATGTGGTTGTGTCTCTGTGTTGGTTGTGGGTCCGTGTTCCCTAGTGTGTGAGGTGGGGGCTGCAGGTTTCCTTTCAGGGTTGCTCTGCACACAGCCTGGGCCTGCACCGGCGAGGATCCTCATCGGGTGGCAGTGGATTGAACATTGTGGTTTATTTGTGGCTTCCCGACCCTCGAGGTGCGGCCCTGGCTGTCTCTGCCTGTGTGGTCAGTGTGTCCATTGGGGTCTTCTGGAGGGAATGTCCCTCTCTGCTGTCCCCCCGCTGATCCGTGCTGTGACATGTTGTCCGAGTGGCCATCCCTGGGGGAGGGGCAGAGGCTGGAGAGGGTGGAATCCAGGGAGGGTGGTGGCCATCGGGACGCCAGGCTCCCCCACCTGCTCCTCCTGTCCGGACAGGGGCTGGACTCAGGTGGCCTCACAGCTCCTGTGCGCTGGGTCTCGGCCTTTCATGCCTTGGGCTCCCGGGGCTTCACTCCCGTCTTCCCTGCCTGTCCTGTGATGTTCTCCATGTGCCCATGATGTTACACAGCAGGATCGCCTCTTCCGAGCTGCCTGTCTGGTTTTGCCTGTGTCCACACCTCACACAGTGCGGGAGTCCATCTCCTCAGTGGCCAGAGCCACACTGCACTGTGGTTGTCATCATCCTTGTGTGGCAGTGAGAATGGGGTGAGCCACACATCCCCTCTCCATCCCAAAGAGACTGAGAGAAGGAAAGAGAAGCAGGCAGCGGTTCTGTTATTAGCACGCCAGAAACCGTAGCTGAGAAGTTTACTTGTATGAAGTTGTGTGAAGCTCAGCGGAGTGGAGAAGATGTGTTTCTAAACATTGAGGAAACCTTGAAAAGACTGATCTCATTGGGAAAGAAGGTGAACAGGAGATTTGGGGAATTAGCTGTCACTTTTATAAAGTCTATGCGTGTGTAAGTGCAGCTAAAGTTAATGTAAAATGTATTTAGGATTGCTTTTTCTCTTTTCATTTATGCGGTTCTTTTGCTTCCAAGACTACGTTAGTATTAGATCTAAAAGGTCAGAGGTGAATGGGGTAATACTTCTTCAGAAAAATATGTAGGATTCTGAACCCTGTTAAGAGGGCTTCCCAGATGGCGCTAGTGGTAAAGAATCCAACTGCCAGTGCAGGAGACATGAGAGATGTGGGTTCGATCCCTGGGTTGGAAAGATCCCCTGGAGAAGGGAATGGCTACCCACTCCAGTATTCTTGCCTGGAAAATCCCCATGGACAGAGGAGCCTGGCAGGCTATGGTCCGTACGGTTGCAAAGAGTTGAACACAACTGAAGTGACTTAGCATGCACACACCCTCTCATACTGTGGAAATAGGAAAAACTCTATTGCTGTTGTATATTATGATGTGATTTAAGGAAAATCTGAGCCATTCGATTTCTGGGATGGAGTTTGATTATTGTAATCATGTTTTGAATTCATCCCTATGTCCATTCATCTGATCATTTCTTCACAAACATTTATACTTAATATGTGCCCAGCGTTGTGCTAAGTGCATGACAACACAGTAAGTATCTCAGACTCTGGTGGAAGAAATATACCTGTAAATAATTCAGTGCAGTGTGAACTGCACTGTGTTAGAGGAATCACAAATATCTTGGGAATCCAGAAGAGTGTCTAAGTAATTGCTTGGGGAATTTGGGTGGTAGCATTTCACTGGGTTTTGAGGGATGAATAGGCGTCTCAAAAAAGGGAGGCAGAAAAGGAAGGGTATGTAATTTTTCAAATGTAAGGATTAGAATACCCTGCCTGGGTGAGATTTAGGAAGGGTATTAGATCTCTCTTTCTCTCTCTCTCTCTCTCTCTCTCTCACACACATATATGAGTGCGTACTTGGGCAGAGAATTAAAGTGTTAGAGTATTAGTTTACATTTTTCACTTTTGTTCTCATGACAGAGAGTAGATGTAAGGCTTTGTTACCTTTAGGGTCTTAATCTAAATCATCTGAGCATCATCAGGTTATTTCAAAGTGTCAAGAATAATTGACTGTAATAAATACCTCTTTAAAAAAGAATGCCTTGAAAACAATTAATCTGTTTCAAGGAGCCCTGCATTTAATGAGAGTTGTTGACATTTTCATTAAAAAGAGGCAGCACAGTCTCTAAAACTGTAGTGGTGCAAGAAAGGGGAGCATGGGACCTGAAAACGTGGTGAGGAGGATGACAGACGCCTGTTTGTATCCTTTTCAGCACCCACTGTTTTCTGTCTGGAGTTTTCATTCCTGTTAGTCTTTCCCACTGAATTTGGCTCTTAGAGGTGGTCTCGGTCTCCTGAAGGCCCTGCTGTGTGTGTCACATGCCATTGGCACGTAGGCTTGTCACCCCAGCCATTTGGCTGGTCATGCCTGCATCCATATAGTACATCACATGTAGACAGCGTGACCTGGGCCATCACTGTCCACCTCCACTGTCCTGGGTTTCCACCTGGGCCACCCCAGTTTTCTGCTGGTGGGACCCTGCTTAGCTGTTAAGCCTGAAAGAGAGGAGGTGGGATAACTTGCTCCCGGGGCAGAGCTTGTGGGGCGGAGAGTGAGGACTCAGACCAGCGCTGGAGTGCGGGAGCCTGGCCACCACCTGCCAGAGACGCTGGTCACACAGGCACCTGTGGACCGTCGGTTAGTTGTTACATTTCCAGAGACACAGTTGTGCCCGACTGGGTCCATGTGAGTCTATGTAATCAGTAACCAGGGTGTGCTGTGTTCAGACTGTGTTTCCACTCCGTAGAAACTTTAAAGCCCGACGTCACGTGGGACGCCTGTCCGCACTGGCTGGGCCTGTGTGAACCGGAGCTGTCCCTTGTGCGGTGGGTGTCTCCACGGAGGGGGGCAGTGGTTGGGGGGCTTCAAGGACCACCTATCCCCAGATGAAGGTGTATGTCCACCCCTGTAAGAGGAAATGGTGAAATATCTCAGATCCCAAAACCTCATTTGCCTTAAATTACTTTTGTTTTAATTGAATATGTACAAACATAGACACTTTGTACTTCTTTGGCGACTGCAACGCAAAACATTTGTATATTAAAATTCACCCTGGACTCTGGAACTGCTGGACTCTGGAGCAGCGGGTGGGGTCTGATGTGATGGGTGAAGCTACCTGAGTGGGGCTGAGATACAGCTTCATGTGCGGCACACCTGTCCCCAGGGCTCCTGGGGGGGCCGGCCTCCCCCCACGGCCTCCTGGGTGAATTGCTGGGAAGCCAGGTGTCACCTGGCCCTCACGGACGGTCCAAGGATGTCGTTTCTCTTCCCAGGAGTCCCAGTGGTGAGGGTTTTGCTGCTT